TAATATATTATTTGGTGATAACTAATCTTATTATATAAATTAAGGAGTCTATGGCCATTTCAAGTTAATACTTCAAAGTACTTTTCTTTAATTTTGAATATTAATAGAGATTGTTAATTTACACAACAATTCTTGCAATGTTTTCAGTTAGATTTTTAGCTCATACTCTCTTTAATATCTATAAATATTAAAAAATATATAATTTGATAAAACTTATTACAATTATAGAATATTAATAAAAATTATTGCATGAATAAAATTACAAAATAAACAAAAACTAATATACAAAAGTTTGCTCCAGCCTTCTAAAAAAACAATTTTATTTTAATATATTTAATTTTCATTCTTTAGTAATTTCTCAACATAATTTCCATTTATTTTAATACCTTTCTTAAGTAGGTAGAGCGACCTTTCAAAACATTCCTCAAAATCGGCTTTTTGGAGCTTTTCAAGTTCGACATTAACTACATTAATTATCTTCTCATTCGAATTGAAGACTCTTCTCCTCAATTTTTTAATGGTGTATGGTGCTGGGCGAATTTCATTGATGCCAGACAGCGCAAGAGAGTTGTTGGTTTTTTCAGCAGTGTGAGAGGGTGCATCATCGTGGTGCAAAAAGTAGCAACGAATTTTCCTTTTTTTCTGGTTTCCCAACAAATTTTTTAAAACTTGTGGTAAGTAAGTTTCTGTATACCACTTAGCAGTTACCATCTGGCCAGTTTCCAGTGGGATAGTAGCTACCACTTTTGCCCTTGTAAAGTAAATTGACACCATCACTTTTGTTTCTGATTTTTGTGTTCTTGATTTAATTGGGGATTTGCACCTTCTGTGCTCCATAGCATGGACTGCTGTTTGGTTTTCGAATCGTACGTATAGAACCAAGACTCATAACCTGTTACTATTTTCCTAAAGGTGCTAAACTCTCCATTTTCAATTTTTTCTAAGAAATATTGGTCTTCGTCAATTTTTGCCCTCAGAGCTACATTTGTGCCGTCGGTGAAAGATTTCGGGCGACCATCACGAAATTCGTCCTCAACAGAAAAATGCCAGGTCTGAAATCTTCTAAACTACTTGTAAATGGTCATAAGGGATGGTGCATTTACTCCATATGCATTTTGGCATTCCTCGAATTTGCATAAGCATTGACGTCGAAATCCGAAGAGGATAACAAAACGAATTTCTTTCTGTGTTGGTGGTGAAAGTTCTACCGACCTTACATCACTAATATTTCGTTTTCTCGTATCTATTTTTACCGATCTTCTTGAAATTTGACATGAAACATCCTTAGACTTTAAAAAGTTGAGAAACAACTTTTGTTTTTTCAGAAACAAATGAATTAACGCCAACTAAGCAAACTTTTGTCCCACGTAGGGGTCAACTTGAACTGACTGTTTTAAAATAGTTATAACTTTTGATGATTTAAGTTTTTTAAATTTATTCTTGCTGTAGATTATAAAGAACTTCAATAAATTTTATAATGAATACATAATCAGTGCAAGAACTCGTCATCCCGACGATGTATTGTTACAATGCACAAAAAAAATATCGTGCGAATTTTAATGTTCCAACAGCACCCAGTGCAAACATGATTAGAATCATAATTAGTCGTTTTTAGGAACGGGTTGCAGTATGTGAAAAAAATGCAATTGCATAAGTTATATGTATTTTACGTCAGTCAATCGAAGTTGGCCCACCCTGTACAATAATAAAAATAAAATAAAAAGTCAACTGTTGCAAAGGGCCATAAGTCCTAAAAAATATTATTTTCTTAGAATAAAATGTTTAATAGTTATATCTGCTGCCTGTAACTATTTGCATTTATATACTTTATAAGTATTATATACTTTATAAAACTACAATTTAGAAACATCAATTTTTGTGATCTTGTGCAACAGCACTTGTATATATTTTTGTATTTAGAAAACTATGTTGTGTATATTTAGCAAATAAATTAAGTTTCTTATTTTATTTCATTATTTAAAAAAAAATCTTTTAATAATATAATGCTTATTTTAATTTTTCTGTTTTATTCATTTATTTTTGATTTATTATTTTGATGCAACACCTATTTACGTATTGTTTCATTGAAAACATTAATAAAACAAACTGTCCATGACTCGAGCAAAAAAATATATTATATTTTTATATAGAATTTGTTGCAATTTTTTTCCGCATGAAAAAAGAAAGAATTCATGTAAACACCAAATAATTTGTATGGATTTTTAATTGAATTTATTTATTTTATAAAAAATATTTTTGTAAATAATTTTTATTTTTTTCACAGCTATAATATATATTGTGTAAAATAATTATATTTATTGCAACAATAAATTACAAAATTAAAAAAAAAAAGTTATTGTATAGAAATAAAATTAAATTCAACTGCTGCAAAACCGTTTTTTCGGACAATAATTATTCTATGGTCCCAAAAATACGGTAATTATTTTACCTATAATTGCGTATATTGTAAAATCTTTTTTATACGGTAGATAGGGACCACATAAAAGAAATCGCACAAAAAAATATTCGAAATTTTCATATATTCGTACATATAACAAATAACTTTGTAAAATACATTAAGAAACTCACTTAGACAATACGTCAAAGATTTAAGAAATACATGATTGGTTGGATTTCATATATCGCAAAAGTACCGCACAAAACAGGTTCTACTGTAAATCGTATCTTATTAATAGTTAATATTACTGGAATTATTAAAAGAAAAACCTAGTAAACATGATTTTTTATGGTTAATTTTTATATTGTATTACGCAATTTTATCTATATTATTTTTGGCAAATAAATCGTTATTAAATCAAAACATTAGTTATTAATTACAACATGAGTCAACAAATCAAGTCACAATTTGGTTTATATCTTTAGGTCTACATTTATTGGATGTTGTTGCATTTTTGTTGAGAAATGGAGTAATTTGTAAACTCAGTAGATTTTATATAAGAATGCATTTATGATGTTGAAGTAACTTTGGGTAATTAATATTACAAAAAAAATCAATTTATAACGTTCTGACACGTCAAATATACACAAAGAGTTAAGTTTATATATTGTTATGCTAATAATTTATAGCGTAGGTGTATGTAGATTAACATTTGTGTGATTAGAGTAATTAATTAAAGATTGTATATGGGACATAGACGTACAATAATGCAGTTATAGAAGCATGTGCAAATGTGTTTGAATGCAGAAATGTAAATAATAATTCGGGGTAAATCATGAAGCTGTCTTTGGAGTGACAATATGATAAATCCCGGCGGGAGGGCGGAGGACCGCAATTGCGGCCGATGAATTTTGATGTTGCATCGGTAATTAAGCGAAGGACTGGGAAGGATTGTTTGCTCGGTAATTTCCATAACGTCGGCTCTCTGGTTTTGAGGTTTGCTGGCAAACATCATTGTCGAGATTGAAGCGTAAAAATTCGCAATAAACATCTGTCCGTTTATTAGAGGAAAATGAACAATAAAGTGGGATGAAATGAAGCCTGATGAAAACGAGAAATTCACTTTTCGACATTTTTATTACATCTCAGAGACAGCTTTATTAATTCAATAGTAATTTAAGCACGCACAGTACTGGAAAGGATTGAAACAGGAGATGCCACCAGAATTAATCATGCATGACAATTTTCCCTTGAATTACTGAAACGTTGACTTACTTGATCACGGTTTAGATCTAGGAACGTGACTAATTGGTAACATGTCTACAGTTTAGGTTCGCAGTAAAAAAAAGAAGGATAAATAAAACCGGTAGGCATTAAGTTAATCTTTGAGCGAAAAGCTACGACTCTTTACTATGAAATGGCTGTAATAAGATCAAACAACCCCAGATTCTCGTTCGGTAAATTAGGGAAGTAATGGAATTTGTATAAGAAATGGATAAAGCTTCAACAGTTTCAGAATATTTCTCAAAGGATTTCAATTCATTTACATTTGAAAGGACGTACGATCTTAATTAAAGCAATAATGTAATTGTTTCATTTACAATTCATGAAATAAAACCAAATCAAATTTCAAGACACATTTTAATTATAGTACATCAGTGATGTTATATTATAATATTTGTATCTTTAAATTCAATCTAAAAACTACTTGGAATATAGTTTTAATAAATAAATCAAAAAGTCATTCCATTTTATGTGCACGTGGAAACTCGTAAAAAACTTTTATAAATTATAAAATTCGTTTCCGTGTAACTTTAATAAAATATTTAAATATTGCTTGTAGAAAAAATCAGTTCATTTCTACTCTTACGATGGCTTTCCGTTTTGCAACTTCGGATGTAAGTTGAAATGGTCATAACTTTTTGGTCACTTCATCAATTTGGGTTCCTGTATTTTACTTTGGTTGTAAGTTGAAATGGTTGTAAGTCGAACTTCATAAAAAAAGGAATAGATAGATAAATGTACAGATACCAAAATGTATTAACTTTTAGCCACTCAAGACTTACAACAGGCTTCCTTTACTTAACTTTGGATGTAACTTGAAATGGTCGTAAGTCGAACTTCATAAAATATATAGAATAGACATAAGTATTTGAACAAATGTAGAGATACCAAAATAGTTTAACTTCATAGACACCTCCCAAATATACTAACTTCTGAGCAACTTTTTGACTGATGAGGAGGGGTTTCCGTGCAATTTATATATGTATTTATATTTATAATTTACACAAGGAGTAAAAGCAATTTAACTAAATATTTACAAATTTCATTATTTATTTTTATCATCGTGAGTGTAAATAATCGTAAGTCGATAACTTACTTTATAAGTTTCCCAGACGAGATAAATAATTTGCAGACTGTAATTGATATTCCACATAAATTTGATTTATATCCTTGCAATATTCAGAGAATTGCCTTTGAGCACTTTACTGCAATTGTCAAGCATAACATAATTTACCGAATGTTCACCAAGATTAGATTGTAAATAATGTAGTACTTTAAATATAGTAAATCAATAGTTTGAATAGTTTGTGTTACTCACAATTCCTGAGAAGCCTGTGAGGAATCCACCTTGTCCTCGAGCCCAGAGAACAGGTATACCAGAGTATGTAGCAGCCAAGGAGACGGTGAAGGCAGCAGGGGAATGTCCGAGAATAAGCACGGCGACGACGTGCTTTCCCTCGAACTTCTGGCAGAGCGTTTCTAGGAGGACGGCGGTGAAGCTTCCGTTTTGAGGCAGTTCGATCACCAGGGTGTCCAGAGCGATGCTATAGTTTCCCGCGGACGTCCGCACCGTGACCAATGATTGCGTAATGTTCGCTAGGGTCTTGTTGAAGGCTCGTCCGAAGCCGGTCTCGCCGTAGGGCACCGCGATAGCGAAGTACATTCGGCCGTCGCCCTCCGTTCCCACACCCTTTGCAACCGCCGTCGCCGTCCATAGCATCGCCGTCGCGATGCACAAGCGGCTTATCAGCAGCATGTTCTCGCCTCTGCGCTGTTTGTGATCTCTGATTGGGATTGATAATGTTTCTGGGAGTTCAGGGTGTCGTCGAGGGCTTGACCGTACCGGCCCGTCATACTCTCGCAGGGCTCGCCGCCGGCCTGCCCATTATCGTGTCCAGATCGATTATCAGTATCAAACTCCTCGACATCTCCGTCGCCAATGCACCCCAGTCATGTCCTCACCGATACCAAACTCCAATTTCTAGCAACCTCCATCTAAAACATATCAATAAAACAATATAAATAACAACAAAATATTGTAACCGAAATACGCGATTTTTCGTTCCACGTAGATTTTTTTACATAAATGAAAATCGCGTAAATACAGTCTGTAAGTACAAAAAATGAAAATCATTATCACTATTGCTTTTTAAAAAAAGACAATCTTTTCTTTTTCATTGGCACAAACTATCTTCAAAACTTGAAATATTTATAAGTTTAACTTCATTATATATGTATTTTTTTCTGATGATTTATCTTTTACCAAGTTTTGATTTGGCTAATTCAAGAGATTTACAAAGATTTTATGTAGTGAATTTATGCTTTTTATGCAAGTATAACATTTTTTTTATTTATATATAATTTATACATTTTTGTTATGCAACTGCGAAAGAAAGACTACGAATCGTACCTCGACGATTTAAAGGAATATTTTTTATTTCAGCCTGAATAATCTTTTCGTTTTCTTCCGCAGTTTTCCT